TGTGACCTTTGATAACAATAGGCATATTCTACCGCGAAACCTCCTACAGCCCGCCCCTTTGCCGGACAACTTTAGGCGTCGAAGCATTTCTACCATGAAGGCAGACGATTCGGCTAAGCAAAATTCGGCTAAACAAGCCACCATTCAGGTCAGGCCGCCCATGGACGATCGTCCAAATAGCTGGGGAGCTACTACTATCAACAAGCGCCTACGCAACGAGGTGTTCAACGATGCTTTCCTAAAGGAACCAGTACAAGTTCATAGGCACCGCCCGCCACACCAGCGGTCAATCCCTCGAACAACTTTGCGTCGGCTGCTGCGTTCGTCAAATTCAGAATCTAACATGAGCAGAGAATTTCATGGTGAGGAGCCTTTGCTCCACGGGTGTACTCTTCCCAAATCGCCAACAGCTACATTGTTTGGACACACGCAGAGCGACCTCGGCCCTCACACAGCACTTTTGGACGTCGAACATGCACCTGAAGGAGATGTCAAGGATGTTACCGGGACCAGTGCCCCAGAACCCGAGATCCTTCGAGATAGACCTCTCGTTTCTAAGAAAAAACGACGATATTCTGCTGGTGGTCTCCGTCGCAAGCCGAAGGATGTTCAAGAACCAAGAGGCGATCTCAAGTACTTCGAAGAAGCAGATGACGCTGGCTACAAGGGGGACAATGAGGATATTGGTGCTGGCGATTTGGATCATACCCCTCCACAGAATGGAGACGTCATTTCGAGCACTAATGGAGCTCACGGTATTGATACCACGGCAAGAACAGATTTCGCCGAGACCTCGGATGTAGCGGTCTACGACTTGCCTAGCCCGGGAGACGAGTATAAGAGAGTACCTCGTCCTGTCAACCCCAAGGAGGCCAAGACGCAGAGAGACAGGGTCGAGTACTTTTTGCTGTTGGAGGATTTGACGGCTGGTATGAAGAGACCTTGCATGATGGACTTAAAGATGGGCACCCGGCAGTATGGCGTTGATGCAAGCCCCAAGAAGCAAAAGTCACAACAGGAGAAATGCAGAACCACGACATCTGCCGAGCTCGGTGTGCGCATTTGCGGCCTTCAAGTATGGAATGCCCAAAGCGAATCGTATGACTTTCAGGACAAGTACTTTGGGCGTCGATTAAAGGCTGGTGCCGAGTTTAAAGCAACTCTTCGAAACTTCCTCTACAATGGCCACGAGCTTCAGAGCATTTTGCGGCACATCCCCGTTGTCTTGAGAAAGCTTGCGCAGCTTGAGCAAATTGTTCAAGGTCTTCGGGGCTACCGATTTTATGCCGCTAGTCTCCTCATGTTCTATGATGGCGCCTCGGAGGATTCGGCGGATTATGATACAGCATATGAATCTCTTACAGACGTGCCGACGGACACTGAAGAGATCACGAGATACAACAAGAGAAACAAAGGGGAAATCGATTTCAAAATTGCAGACTTTGCGAACAGCTTAACTCCTTATGACAGAGTTCAGGATAAAGCTTGTCCGCCGCAACACCCTGACGAGCCCGATGCCGGATTTCTGAAGGGTCTCAAAAGCCTCAAAAGGTACTTTCTTCAAATTCAGAAGGAAGTTCGAAAGGAATTGGACCCGAGGCACCGTCGGCTACACGACGATATCAACGGATACGGAGACGAGGACGAGTTTTTCGACTACGAAGGCGCCGTCAGCATGTAAACATCACCAGCTTGATAGTTTCACTTTTATCCATTCAGCCAGCAGCTCATTATGTCCATCATCGCCTTTTGCAAAGCATGGCGAGGTCCTTCGAACGTTGATCGACCTTGCGACACAGCTTTTCGGCGTTGTTCTTCCTTTTCATGTCATTTCGTTCGTTACTTTGGCTTCGTTTCTGGCGCAAACGGAGGCCGGCTTTGATTTTTGGGTTTAGCGATGTAAAAGACGGTCCTGGAGACCTCTCAGTTTCCCAATGTTCATGATTGCTATACCCCTCTTAAAATTTGGAGTTCACTGCATAGCTAGTCTGGCCATTCATAGCGGACACGCAGCCTTGCTATAATTTGGCGCAATGGCATACTGATCCTGGAGATAGTGGCTGGATAGTTTCACCTGCCTCGTCTCTTGGGATCTTTTTCTCTTCTCTTCCCTTCTGACTTACTTTTACTTCTTTGTCTTACCTTTTCAAATCTTTATTCTCGGGTACTCTTTCGCAGTTTTTTTTTTTTTTTTTTTTTTTTTTT